ATCAAGACATATTTATTCCAGCGGTTAAAATCTCTAGGCTGCTTGGTTCCACATGGGCGTTATTTATCATATATTCATATCACCAACGAGTTTTATTGCTGAAGAAGGAATTTTTGAAGACGGGAGTATATATATTTATCGTGAGAATCTTCATCACTCTTTATTTTGGAACACATTATCCTCTCCGGAAGATCTTATCTACTACCTTATTTTCTCACGAAGCTCGGATCTGCAGTCCTGTCGGCTTTATCAGATCATCATGACATTCTTATTTCAGCGGTTAAAATCTACAGGATACTTGATTCGACATGGGCTCGCCAACTTATTCTTACAATTAAATTATTGCTACTTCAACAAGTTTAAAGACCTTTCTCAATAGCAAGACACATCTTTGAAGACATCGTGTAAATCAAATCCGCTACTTGAAGAAACGCTCCACTTTGGCTAACCTCAATCTGCCGCGATTTGAAAACGCTTGAAAATTGAAACCGGTCGGGTTACATCTCCGGCTTTTGTTCTGGCGTTGAGTCGTCGTTTACTACGGTGAAAGAAGGTATTTCACGCTCTTTCGTTGCTGTGGTGGGCAGGTTCTTTGTTTTGATGGATCTTTCGGGAAGATCGTGTGGGATGCTGGACGTCGACTGGTAATGGTGGTGAACTGGCCGGGTAGGCGACCGGCTGGGTGGTTTGGCGTCTTGCTTCTGGCTGACCGACGGTGGGTTCTTGCGTTTGGCGACCGGTGTGCGAATACCCCAAACGCCAGAGAAGATAAAAATAACTACTTTTAACCCGTTGCTTTGGCTTTGGACAACGTTGGTACCCAGTTCTCGTTTGGCGGTGGCTTGTTGAAATCGAATTAGAAATATGAGTTAAACGGACTTTGGTGGGCGTGGGGGCTGATCGGTGAGTGAGACTGGCCGCCAGACCTGATGATGAGACGCGTGTTGGTAGTTTTCTGGCGGTGAGGCTTTGTATACTGGTCTCTACGAAGAGATTTGTTAATGAGCTTCTTCTTCTTAGCATCCTTTCCTTATTTCGGTAGATATGGAATATTATGGCATTCTTCACTTCTTTCTGGAATTTTCTGGTTTCTTTTTGTTGATTTTGGTCTGGGTCCATTTGGAAAAGCGAGTAACAGGGTATTTGGTGGTTGAATAGATAGGTTAAAAGTTCTTCGTGTAGAACCGTTTCGCAGAGGATGAATGGAGAGTGTCGTCTCTGTTGTGCAGTAGCTTTAGTAGAGAAAAGGGAATCAGAGTTTACCGTTCCCGCAGACGGCGCCAATGTACTCATAGTGGTACATAGATGTGTCCCTTAGAGGGTGAAGTATCTTGATATAGAGGGTGTCCACAGTGACCTTGGTAGAGACCAAGCCACTAGTGAAGTTTTCCATGTATGTGCTCAAAGGGGGAGTGTGTGTGAGGGCTATGCATAGAGGCAGAGTAACAGCATATGAGAGTGGGGAAGAAGATGATCCCCTCTCTATGTGTGAGAGGGGTATGTAGAGAGGAGAGTCCTCTCTTGCATGAGGGCTTGAGCTGGTCAGCCCATGAGCTGTCTCATCAAGCTGGCCATTGTCAGTGTACATGGCAGCAGTGCAGGATGGGGAATGACCCAGTGATGAGCCTCTATGGCTTGCCATGGGTGCCCTCTAGAAGGTTCTAGACTGTGGGCTTTGAGAGGTTGGACCCATCTGATGGGTCTAAGGTAAGTAGTATCCACAACACCAACAAAAAAATAAATTGCTTCACATATCATTGTTTACCCCCGAAAAAAAAGTGTAGAGAGAAACACTTCATCTTCCTATTAAATATCGTTACATTCTTTTTTTAAGGCTACATTTGGTTTAAATTTTATAAGAATTAATTTTGAAATAATAGATGTTTAAAGAATTAATTTAAGTTTGAGAATTATATTCTAAAAAATTTAGAAGAGACTTTTCATTTAAATGATAAATAAAAAATCACTTTCAAAATATAAATATATGTATATATTTAAAAATTTTACAAATCTCATGCATAAAATTAATTTTACTCAGTAAAAAAGTTTACAATTTTTACCCTCTTCAAAGTTCAAATTCAAATTTACTGACCGTAACATAGATTTTGAGAACCCAAAATTATAACCAAATAGTACAAGTTACGGTGTAATATATATATATTTTTTAAAAAATTTACAACGTAATTCTAGCGGTAACCTATCTTGCATTGATATTTACATGGGACATAATACGACACATTAATTTTAAAAATATTAGATTTCAACATATTAGGAGATATTTTGATATTAAATAATATTTTTAATTTATGTAGTGTAGATTATATTTAATATTCAATAATTTAATAAAAAAAATAAAACTAGACGTATAATATCCATCAATTTTGTAAAGAAACATAAGATGTAAATATTTACTATTATATTTTTAAACGGAAAATCTCTTATACACTCTAGTGAAATTTATTCGGTATCCACTTTTAATTTTTATTATATCAATTTAGTAAAACATCGATCAATTTTTTCATGATATATAATGAAATTTCAATATTAGAACCAGCAAATGTTTTAAAGTTCTTCTTCCTTAAAACTTCCTTTCGGAATGGACCCTCTCAAACATGACCTGAAAATTTTTTAATGGTTTATAGATAAATCAATAGTAATGAAATATGAGAGAGAAAATTGATAAGATAAAAAGTAAAAAAAAAATGTTTCTCATGGTTCACAAACACAAAATAAGTGAGACCCGCTTTTTTTCTCTCTCTTCTCATTAGTATATCCCACCCATTTTTTATGTATTGCATGAAATAAAATTATCTTATATAATATTAAAAATATTTTTCCAAAATAAAATAAAATTAACCATTAGATTTATCCATAAATCATTGATATTGTTTACATGGTTATATATATATATATATATATATATATATATATATATATATATATATATATATATATATAGAATACATTTGTACAGCCACTTTAGATAAGCTTGTCTATAGCTATCCCTTTTTAATTAAGTATGACCAGTCATACTTTAAAATTGCATTTTCTCTCTCTGCCACGCCAGCCGACAATGTCTGAGGAGAGAGGAAAAAGAACAGCTTTATTGTTATAACTAAGTATGATCGGTCATACTTAGTTAAAAAGGGGTAGTTGTAGATAAGCTTTTCTAAAGTGGCTGTAGAAATACTTTTTTCTATATATATATATGTATATATATATATATATATATATATATATATATATATATATACATATATGGTCCGTCAGATGTCCTGTTGCAAGATATTCTGCAACTGTCTGTAACTATGTACTAAAAGTAATACATAATTATAATATTAAAGTTATTTTTTTCTCTTCTCCAAGTCAATAACTTTAATATTTTAACTATGTATTATGTTTAGTACATAATTAAAAATGGTTGCAAGACAAAAAATTTATTCCTACAGCATAATACTTATATTTTCCATATATATATATATATATATATATATATGAAAAAACAAGTATCATGTTATATGATAATTCTTATATGGAAAAAACATTTATCCTTTTAAAGAATATAAATTTTTGTCATTTTAGATCCTAACCATTGATTTCTGGCAACCAACAGTTATAATTTATTGTGAATTACTAATTAACTAAGTTTAACATAATAAATTATAACCGTTGATTGACGAAAATCAAGGTTATAATCTAAAATGACATAAAATTATATCCTTTAAAATGAAAAATATTTTTCTCTTCTTATTTAATGCTATAGAGACAATCATTGTGGAATCACCATTTTTAAAATAAAAAGAAGAAAAAATATAGCACAAGTATCTATGTTGTCTATGAAACTTAACTTTTGTCATGCAACATGACAAATGGAAAACCAATACATATATATATATATATATATATATATATATATATATATATATATCTATAAGAGTTCACTTTTTCTATAGTCAATGTAGATAATTTATCTACATTGAGCCCAAAACGACTTCGTTTTGAGACGAAAGTCGAGCTATTTTTGTAATTATAATTTACTTCAGGGTTATAATAGTCTTTTTTATTATAATTTTTTAATCCAAAATGATGTCATTTTGGAAGCGAATGTAAATAACTTATCTACATTCATCTATATATATATATATATATATATATATATGGGAATAAAATTTCTGCTGTAACTTCAGATAGATATATCTACTGGGCACCTAAACGACACCATTTTCGTCTTTTTTTAATTTAAACGAAATTGTGCTTCCTTCTTCTCTCTTTATCGTGCTATTACACCGTTTTCGTTCCCCTTCTCTGTTTATTCCTTCATCAACTACAGTCATCGCATAGCTATTTTTTCAATCGCTTCCTTATTCAAGCCTAGGGTTTTTCAATCGCTTCCTTATTTTTTCAATCGCTCCTCTTCAGACCAATCATAATAAGTACTTGACCATTTGACACTTTGAAGAAATATTTGTGTTAGTATTCAGAAAGCATATGTAGTTATTTCTTACTGCAAACAATTTGTAATGCTTAAATGATTGCGCTTTCTCTTTTTTTCTTTTGGTTTTTGTCAACTATTAGTATTAACAATAGTTTTTATTCTTCATCTTACAGAGGCAAATAAACAAGACATAAAAGGTGCCCTTACGAATGAAAAAATAGCTAAGGTGAGCTTAATTTTATATTGCCTTTCTTCATTAACCTGGGTACCTTTGACTTCATATGGAAACCCTGAAGACCTCTCAGAGGAGCGCCCAAGCAGATTCTAAGTGATATTTCAACAGTTTTGAAGTGATTTAGGAATTTAGGAATTTAGGATTCCATTTTTTTTTCGGGGGGAGGGGGAACATTTGGTGGTTTTAAACTCTTCCTTACTTATATTCTCAGATTTTTCTATTCTGTTCTTGATACAAACAAGAAACTGGATATATGGATTCATGATTCTTTTCTTTTTTCGTCTTTACAGGCTATTGATGGAACACTCCCAAATAACAACTATTGAAGACATGAATGAAAGTGTAGTATCTTTAGATGACATTATTGAATTGGAGAAAGAGAGTGATGAGTTAAGCGAAGATGGTCAATGTGAAATTATGAATCAAGACAAAGATAGTGATCGTATGCAAGACAATTGCCAAGAAATCATGGGAGATGATAGTGAGTTTAATGAGCCTCCTATATTGGGTAGAGTTTTTGAGACAGCTGAAGAAGCCTACGATTTTTATAATAATTTTGCAAAAGTTAAGGGGTTCGGAATACGTAAGCGTTACTTTAACAAGAGTAGAAGAACACAACAACCATGTTTGTGGAATTATGTGTGCTCAAAGCAAGTTGTCAAGAATCTACATGATAAAAGAATTGATGTAAGCAATGTCAAAAGGTGAAGGGATACACAGACTGATTGTTTGGCGATGTTCCAAATAAAGTTGGTGAACGGATTATGGAAAGTAGAGAAGTTCAATGATTCACATAATCATCCATTGATTAACACTCCATCAAAGGTGAACAAGTTTTCTTCTCATAATGATTTACGTCGCTCAGATTTTACTAAATCCATTGTTTCTAAACTTTATGGGAGGGTTTAACGTCTTCAAAAATCTCAAAGGTGCTGAATGCTATGAACAAAGAAGTCAACATCACTCTGGGTCAAATTAGCACTATTATATCAAGCCAGCGTAAGAATAATGTAGGACGAGAATGTCAGGGCATCATCAAACACTTTCAAAAGAAGTCTGCTCACGATGGATGTTTTTATTTTGATATGCAGTTGGCAGAAGATGGTACATTAAGAAGCGTCTTTTGGGCGGATGGTAGGTCGAGAGCTTCCTATGGTCAATTTGGGGAAGTCCTCGTCTTTGATGTGACTTACAAAAAAAACAAGTTCAAGTTTCCTTTTGCCCCTTTTGTTGGGGTTAATCACCATGGGCAATCAATTTTATTTGCTGCTGCATTGTTAGAGGATGAAACAGAGGCAACCTTTTACTTGGTTGTTTGAACAGTTTCGGATATGCATGTTTGATAAGTCTCATGTTGCTATTATTACTGATCAAGACAAAGCTATGGGGAAAGCAATTGCTAAGATATTTCCAAGAGCATGACATCGTTTCTGTGCATGGCATATCAAAAAGCATATTTTGGAGCATAGTCAAGCATTACGTGCACAATTTAAAGATAGTTTTGATGTTGACTTTCATGCATGGTATAAAAGTCAAAGCATAGATGAATTTGAAGACAAATGGGAAACATTAAGAACTAAATATGATATTAAAGCAAGTAGTTGGTTGGCTAACATGTATGCTTCACGTAACCATTGGGCAAAAGCATACTTGAAAGATACTTTTTTTGCTGGAATGACTACAAGTGGCCGAAGTGAGAGCATCAATGCATTTTTTGATGGATATGTCAACTCCAACACAATGTTAAATGACTTTGTTACCCAATATGATAAAGCAATCAAGTCTAGAAGAGATGCAGAAGAAGATGAAGATTTTAAAACTAGAAATACAAAAGCAAATTTGGAGAGTAATCATCCAATTGAAGGAATAGCTGGAGAGCGCTACACAAGAAAAATGTTTGAAATTTTTAAAAAAGAGTGGAGGGCTGCCACACAAGATTACTTTCACGAAAAGATGTCAACAGACGAGCATAATATTAGGTACCGTGTGGGATCTCCCAAAGTTAATAAAGAGTTATGGGCAATTGTTGATTACAATTTGATAGAAAGTTCCACTACTCATTGTTCTTGTGCAAAGTTTGAGACTATGGGGATTTTATGCAAACATATTTTGTACATCTTCAAGAAGAAACAAATGATGACCCTTCCTGAAAAGTATATTTTAACTAGATGGACCATGAATGCAAGCTATAAGGCTGAAAATCTTTTGTCTGTTCATTCCGAAACAACTACCAGTGAAGTAAGTGAATTGTCTTTGTTGTCAACTCAGTCGAAGTGCAATTTGGCTATTTCTGAAGAAAAAGATTGTTTTCATGAAATTAGAAGATTTGATACTATTGTTGATGAGTTTATTCAACAACAATTAGAAAGAAAGAGAAAAAGAATTGATGAGGAAACCACAAGCTCAATTGTACCTTCACAAAGTTGTTTCATTCCTTCTCAAGATTCACTTAATTATGTTCGAGATCCCACTCAAGCAGTCAAAATTAAGGGGCGTCCAAAAGTTGCTTCAGGTATAAAATCAAGCATTGAGTTAGCAGCCAAACAACAAAAGACTTGCAGTTATTGTCGAGAGAAGTGTCATAATAAGACCAGTTGTAAGAAGCAAATGGTATTTCTCTTATATTTTTCCTATTTATGTTTTTGTCTTTCCTCTTTGAACTTGATAAAAAATTTGTGATTTTTCATTTGTAGATGGATGTTGCAAGAGAGAAGCAAAAGGAATAAAAGTTTCATTTGAAAGCTGCCCCTGATGAAGATGAAGCTTTGACATGGCTGAATTATTTTAACATAGTTGAATTGTTTTGTGCATAAGTTAAGCTGTAGATATATTTTTTGAATAAAAGCAGTTGCATTGTAAAGATAACTTAATACAGTTTATTTATGGAAAGTTTCGAATTTTTTTGATGTATGTAATGTTCCCAGTAGTTCCGCGAAGCAAACTGTTTTGCTGAAAGTATTTTGAAACGCATTCCCGGTTCTATTGGAAAGCTCAATGTTTTAGGATGGGTTCTTTACTGTTGTCAAAGAGTAATACAAAAGATAAATTTGATAAAACAAACACATGTGATGAAGAACTCACATTGAATAATTATGTACATGGATTCATATTACATTGACATAGATATCCTATAATGACTACTAAAATCCAAGTTACAACTCGTACACAATATCCTATAATGACCCTTCCTACTCATAGTATTCCTTGAAGTCTATGTGAAAGCCTTCTTTTAAAGCATCTTCCATGTTGATTACTTTCATGCCTTTCCTTCTGTCCTATGCAATAAACAGGGTAAGCATTGCTTATGGACAGCAGAGAATTTGCATCTTGCAGCAGCTATTTACAGAGTTTATCACATGCCTAGTGGGATCCGAAGGTGTTCTCTCCACTGTAAGTCATGTAAAGAAAGCCATCATCATCCTTATTTTCCTCATAAATAGCAGACATCAAGGCGGCTGCAACAACAGAGAGATTTAGTACATAAGTATAGACAGAACTACAAAAATAATAATGCAGCTTGAGCGGTGGCTATTTACCAGTTGGAGGTAGAGTGTTATTGATAAAAACAAAAATAAACATATAGTAAGGTTCATGATATAAGGGTCTTACACTTATATTCTCTTAATTTGAATTGCATATAATGTTCAATCTTGATGCTATACTTTTAGCAAATGAGGGTACAACTACTCATTTAGCTTTGTAAGATAAATAGTCAAAAGGGGTTAGCACAATGAAAGGTTTTTAATGACTCATACCATATGCAATACCAATATGAACCAACACTGGAACTGCTGAGAGCACAACCAATGGTAATACCATAGATTGTGTCTAGAGAAAACTCATGATATTTTGCAAGATGCTATATGCGAATAATCCTGGGACTCTGTTCATTGAACTCACAAATTTATTAAAAATCATTCTTCTCCGAGTTCAAACTTTTATATTAAAGCCTTCTCATATATGATGGATACTAAGATAGGTAAGTAACCTGCAAGTCATCTAGTTTCTTGCGGTTTCAAAATGTAATATGGTACAAGCACCACATTCACCAAAAAGAAGAAGAGGGACATCCATCTGGAACATATCAGTGACGCAGTGAATCCATAATGTCTTCCAAAGACATTATATAAGATTTAAGAATTCTAAGTTGGAAACATTTCATGGAAGATGGCCTAAACAAGCATTAGTCAATCATGTAGATTCTAGAGGCTATGTCCTGGACCAACCAATCAAATCCCTCAAGCAGACCCTCACCAGTATATGCGCTACAGCCAATTATCTGCCAATGCCGAGATTTATCCATGGCTTTCAAGTTCAGCACCTGCATGGATATTAGAAAATCAACAACTACTTAGAAACAAGGATAACTTAAGTTACTTGTGATGTTATTTTATTTTTTTTGGTTTCCTACAGACAATCACGAAGATTCTTGCCATTGACCCCAAGTTACTTGTGGTTTAAGCTACTTGGGATTTGACCCGTTTAAAATTTTCTTCAACATTTAGCTTCTGTGTGTTTCCTGAAAATAAATAAAATTCAACTTTTGCTACTACTTATTTACTTATTGAGAAGTCCCACCCTCCCCCCCCCCCCCCCCCCCAAAAAAAATGGAATCCTAAATTCCTAAATCACTTCAAAACTGTTGAAATATCACTGAGAATCTGCTTGGGCGCTCCTCTGAGAGGTCTTCAGGGTTTCCTTATGAAGTCAAAGGTACCCAGGTTAATGAAGAAGGGAAATATAAAATTAAGCTCAACTTAGCTATTTCTTCAGTCGTAAGGGCACCTTTTATGTCCTGTTTATTTGCCTCTGTAAGATGAAGAATAAAATCTAGTGTCAATAATAATAGTTGACAAAAACCAAAAGAAAAAAAAAGAGACAGAGCAATCATTTAAGCATTCCAAGTTGTTTGCAGTACGAAATAACCACATTTGCTTTCTTAATACTAACACAAATATTTCTTCAAAGTGTCAAATGGTCAAGTACTTATAATGATTGGTTTGGTACCATTAATACTATACTACAAAAATATTCCTTGTAAGTAGTACAGGAAAAAGTTGTTGTAGGAAATACAAAGAAACTGCCAGCAGGATAAACAGGTTTTCACATCCTGTATCAACCGTCCAAAGGTATTAGCTCATGACAAAGAATCTTAAAACATTCACTTTATGCAAACTCCTGAGTTTACATAGTATTAGTACAAAGCATAAATCGAATTCGATGCCAATCAAATAAAAGAGAGATAAATTGTTAAGTCTTCCAAAAGCATGACTGGATATCTTCGGGTATAAACACCAATAACATGTAAGCAACTTGTTCAGTTCAATTGATAAGCAATAAACATTTGGATTTAACAAACCTCTTCCTTTAGAAGGTTATCTAGCTCAAATTTGCAATCATCCAACCTTCTCAGATCTGAACTGTCAACTACCCAAACTAAACCATCTGTTTGCTCAAAGTAGTTTCTCCAGTAAGATCTTATTGTTTTCTGGCCCCCAACATCCCATATGTTCAGAGTGTACCTGCCAATGTCCAAATGGATAAATGCCTAAACATTATGTATTGATGTGAATCATTCTAAGATACTGAGCAAAAAAAAATAAAAAGAATAGGCTATATAAGTAGTGAAACCATAAAGTGAAATAAGAACCCAATAATTTCAAAGAAATTCAAGTTATGCATATAAAGGCTGTTAAGAAATTGTCACTTTGATTTAAAAATGGAAAAAGAAAAAGAAACTTAATAGCCATTAAGGGGAAACTACTTGTTGTATGCGATGGTTTTGATGTTGAAACCAAGCGTGGGACTGATGTTGAAACCAAGAGAATCAATGAGCTTTTTCTGAGAGAGAAATTCGAATTGAAGGAACAACTTACACCATAAGAATTCACATTTCCTTCTCTTTCTTCTTGATTTTCCTAATGATGCTCAGAAGACCCATTCAGCTACCAAACACTTTCGACTTCGCACCTGAAACGCTTTCGTAGATCTACAATTTGATTTGATAACGATAAATTGCTGATAAATATGTCCAACATCACAGCGTGGCTTCTGCAAAGCTCTAGGTAATTTAATCAATTTATTACAAAAAAAAAACTATGGAAAATGATATCAACTGTGACATTTTCTTTTTCTTTTTTCTTTGCGAAAGTGATATAATCGTTTTCGTCTTCAAGGAAAATATATTATGTTTTAAAATTGGAAACGATTGAAAAAATAGCTATGCGATGACTATAGTTGACGAAGGAATAAACAGAGAAAGGGAACGAAAACGGTGTAATAGCACGATAAAGAGAGAAGAAGGAAGCACGATTTCGTTTAAATTAAAAAAAAGACGAAAACGGTGTCGTTTAGGTGCACAGTTTACAGGAGAGATTTTATTCCCTATATATATATATATTATATATATATATATATATATATAAAGGAAACCCATTTGTTGAAAAGTTGTGCCATGTGTCACTCCCTGCTTCATTCTCAGATTTTTGTTCACACCACTACCCCTTAAAAACTTTCCTTCTTTGGTAAATTTTGAAATTATTAAATATTAAAAAATTATATTTTCAATCACAAAACGAAAAAAAAAACGGAAAATTAAGTTTTTATTCAATTAAGTTGTGGTGGCAGACACCTCATTCAATGCCCCACTGTCCCACTCATCATTCAATGACCCACTGTCCCACTTCTACAATGGAATTGATCAGCTCTTTTAAAATTCAAATTTATGTTGATTTCTACATTGGAATGATCAGCTCTTTTAAAATTCAAATTATGTTTTGATTTCAAAATTTGGATTTCAGTTTTGAATTTGAAATTGTGATGGTGGGAAACAAATTGAATTGAATAATGCTTATGGCAGACAGCTCACTCATTTAATCTCTGACTGTTTTTCTTTTGTTGCTTGCGTCTATAAGAAGGAAAGTTGGAATGAAATATTGCTCTGTCTATTTCTCTTTTCTCTCTCTTATTGCGGCTAGGGTTTTTCCTTTCCCTCTTCTTCACTCCCTTACTTACCCTTCATCATTTTCGTTCTCTTTGTTCGTGCGAATTTGTGTGTTTTTTTTTATTTTTTTGACACGATGGAGTCGTTGTAGAGTTAAGGTTTTTAGTGTGTCTCTTAAGAAGAGGAACGAGTGATTTGGTTAAGGTTTTGTGTCGGTGGTTGTGTTTGGAGATGGCGACGAAGAACCCTTTTGATTCATTGGGCGATGATGTTGAGGATCCGTCGCAGTTGATATTTCGTTCTTCCCTCCGGTATTCCATTCTTGCTGACTGTTTCTTTTAGAGAGAATAGCTTCTTTCTTTTCTTCTTTTTTCGTCCTCCCAACATATGATTTTATAAAGGATCTTAATCCTACCAAGGAGGACTGAAGGATTAAGGTCAAGGCGCTCATCGTCATCGAAGTAGCAGCAGGCACAAATCTCCTGTCACAATGGTGCAGTATCGGAGTTTCTCTCTACTGGCTCGAGGACCTGTGTTGTTGACATGTACTCAAGATGGAAATCTGTCTTTCTTCAGGTTTGAAAATATTTACCATTAATCTAAATTGCTTTCATTGGTCTTCATTGAAGTCTGCTTATTTTTTCTTTGGAGCACTAATGTTGGTATATTATAGTGTGGCTTTGCAGATAAAAGGTTATTTAACTCTTCGATGCTCGCTCAAATTAGCTCCGCGTATACACAAAATTCAAGCTTCTTTCTGCCCTCTTCTTTCCCTTGAGAAAGGAGAATTCATAGGTATGTTGATATCATTGTTGATTGCTTCCTTTTTCTTTTTTTTTCTCTTCCTCTGCTCCTTCTCTTGAAGGTCTTCCTAATTTCAATAATGCTGCTTCTACAAATTACACCCAAACGTTGCTCTGTCAAACTGGAAAATAATTGTTTGGTTTATGTGTATGCAGTCAAAACTCAAGAATTATATACTGCCTTCCTTAATGAATAAAAGATTTTCAACATATATTGCTTGCAAATTAAGTTTTCTGAAATATCTTTGACTACAGCGATATCACAGACAGTTGCTGTAAAGAACCTTGAGATACACCACCCCAAAAGCTAGCTCAAAGGGTGGGAGTGCCCAAGGCCTTATAAAGGCCATATTAGTTTCACATCCAATCAATGTGGGACTATATATCTCAACACGCCCCCTCACGCAAGAGCCTTTTTAGGCTAGAAGCGTGGAAATTGCACAGGCCCATTTTTGGTTTACCTTTTTGTTTGCCCATCCAATCAATGTGAGACTATATATCTCAACAGTTGTTGTCTTTCTAACATCCTCTGTTGTCATGTGAAGTTGCTGGAAGTGAGGATTCAAATGTCTATTTCTATGATTTAACACGGCCAAAGCATACATGTGTAAATAAGCTACAGGTTAGTATTATTTCCATTGAAGGTATTAATGTCACAATGAAGCTCAAAGTGATTAGAATTTTTATTATGCAGGGTCATCGGTTTCCTGTAATGGATGTTTCTTGGAACCATGGAGAGAACTTTTTGGCTTCATCCGATTTTTATGGCGTAGTAATTGTTTGGAAGAGAGAAAGCACATATCAAAATAAGAATATATAGCAATAGAATTTTAGAGCATATAGTTGAGGGCCTGTGAAGATGGCATTCTTTACATTATTTTCATTCTTCTTTTGATTTTTTCATCTTTCTTTTGTATCCTTTGTACTATTATTTTTTTATTTTTGCTACAAGGGACTTTGTATCAATGAAGTTAATCAATTAATCATCCATAACCTCAGAGCAAACGGATAAATCATCTTTAGAAAATTCATGTATCTTTTTGTGTTTCAGAAACACGTTTTCCAGAAATTTGTTGTATTTTATAATTCGATATTGCAGTGTCCTTTTGTTTATGTGACATTTTGTTTAGCTTCTTATCACACTGCATTTTTTAATAACAAATAAACAGAGAAATACTAATTTTCAAGGGCTATAGTAGTACTAAGGATTGTAAATGAAAGTGTAGAAAATATATTAATGAATTTCACATTAATTAAAGTGTATATTATAATTTTTCTTTCTATGATGTTATATCTGTCCCTTTTTTCATGGGTAATTGTTAGCCCTATCAATGTTGCATAAAAAAAAACATTAAAAATATTGTAAAATAACAAAATTATTTATATTGTAAAATAAATTCGAAATTTGAAAATAAATTCGAAATTTGAAAATAAATTAAATGGAAATTATGTGAACAATTTTTGGTGGCAGACAACTTATTCAATGTCCCACTGCATTCTACTTTGGAATTTCCAAATTAAGAATAACTCAACTCTTCTAAATTTCGAATTTATGTTTAAATTTGAATTTTGAATTTGAATTTTTAACTTTGTAATTGTGGGAAAACTTTTGCAAATTTTTTTGTGGCAGACAACTCATTTAATGTCCCACTACTTCTCTTTTGTTGTATATCCCACTATTTTTTGCATGGATAATTGTTAGCTCTATTAATGCTGCATAAAAAAAAATAACATTAAAAAATATTGTAAAATAAAAAAGTTATTTATATCTTAAAATAAATTTGAAATTTAAAAATAAATTAAATGGAAAATTATGTGAACTTGATATGTGGGAAAAGAGTTCAACATTTAATATTTATGCAGTGGGAAAAGATATATATAATAAATTTGAATTTAATATAAAATTATAGATTAAATAATAAATTATTCAAAATTATAAAAATACATTTATAGTCGATAAAAATTATTTACAATTTCGAATTTAAATGAAAAATAAGAAATGGCATAATTTATACTTTACAAAAAAAAAATTAAAATTTTAACATAAAATTTTTAAATATACATGTATAACCAATTAAAAAAGTATACATGTATTTAAAAAAAAAATATTTAACATAAACATTTTAAATATACATGTATAACCAATTGAAACAATATATAAAAATCATAAATTAAAATAGAAAAAATAAACTAAAAATATGTATAATTAATATAAAAATTTTAAATTTTAAATTTAAATAAAAAATGACGTCCGTCATTCTGTAAAAACTTTTTATTAAAATTTAAGAATTATAAAAATGGAAATATTAATTTAGTACATAAGAAAGAAATTAAACTTTCATTTTTTTTATTGCAAGCGTGTAATTAACACGAATACTTGCAAAAAATAATTATTTATATAAAAGGCTGACAGTTAGACGTGGAAAATTGGGCTCGGCCCGGCGGGCTGGCCCGCCAATATATTTTTATAATTTAATTAAAAGTTTATCCTTCTTCTTTTATAATTAAATTACTAAATCTGATTTGAATTTTTGTAAATACAAATTTGTGAAATTCCAAAGACTAACGACACTAATCCTTGCAAAAAAAATATATTTATTATTATTTTATATATCTGATTGTAGTAAATGAAAGTTCATCTATGAGATAAAATATAAAAACCTCGACGGAACTATAAAAATATTTTTGTGTGGATAAATATAAAAACTTTTTACATGCTGATAGTTAGAGGTGACAGACTGGAATCGGCCCAGAGGGCCGGCCCACGAACATATTTTAATAATTAAATTAAAATTTCATCCTTCTTCTTTTATAATTAAATTCCTAAATCTGATTTTAATTTTTGTAAATACAAATTTGTAAAATTCCAAATACTAACGACACAAATCCTTGCAAATAATAATTATTTATTATTATTTTTTAAATGTGATTGCAATAAATAAAAATCTATCTCAAAGATTAGTGTTTTGCTTTGACTCTGTTTATATGCATTTGTTGTAATGTAAGCAAAAAATATGACCCATACATGCTTATTTGATTAAGTTGCATTCAAATCCCGTTCAGACAACATTTTTTTGGTCCTTAAAAAATTTTAACCCAATATTTTTTTTTTTTTTGCTGATACTATGACTTTTGGGTGTTAAATATATTTTTTATTAAGCCATTATTATTTCTCCTAACACATTCTTGCTCATT